CAGACAACCTCTCGTCAATATGCGTTTTTCGCATTGCATTGCTGCAAAAAACGCATAAAAAGTGCTAACACACCGACACATACGCAGTTCTTGCCATTATTATATATTTGCGCTTGCATAAAATGCAAAAGCGCATGATCATGCCGGCAAGCTTGATGCGTTCCAGCCTGGATCGTTGCAATATGCATTTCTGCATCCGCATAAAAGAACAACCAAGAGCAGCAACTATTAAAGATTTCAAAGTATTGCGGTATATCAGAACTGGCACAAACCAAGCCCAATTGGCGTGCTAAATCCGAATTTGAACAGTACCACCCACTATAAGTGGATCGCAGGCAAGAAGACGACTACATAAAGACCCCATCCTACACAATGTTGATGACAGGCACAAACTGAACACAAACAACAGGGAACGGGGAGCGTGAAATACACGCATTTGGCGTCTGAATGTGTCTCACTAGCATCAAAGGGAAAATCTGACATAAAGAGGCTTCGGACCAATAATATGTCCTTGTCATAGCCACAAAATTTGTGAAATCCTGATGATATGGAAGCGCCTCGGTGGAAAGGAATTTTAGATCAGTGAAAGAGGCGTCTACCTGTACGACATTGAAAAGAGGATTCCGTTAGGCAGACAAAAAAACCAAACTGCCTCATAGGGATTCAAAAAATCATAAGGTCGTGATTAATACCTCTTCAATAGTGAAATTCATTACGCGCTGTAATGTATCAAGTGTTACGTCGTAACGTGATAGCACTAGAACTGTTTCCATCTTAAGTAAACGAGAAATACCAGATTCCAGCCGCAGAACTGCTTCGTTTTCCTAAAAATATGTGAGCGACATCCAAACACACAAATTCCCTTTCTCCTCAGCCTTTTCAATCTTCCACTGCTTTTGACAACAGACAACAAACTTACCGAACGTGGAAGCTGTGAGATGACATCCAATGTTGCTGCCGGATAAGAATAATCAAAATCAAAATAATTCGCGAATTTGCGAAATTTTGGGGAGAAGTCCGGTTTCTTAGGTGAAACCATATAAGCATCCAACTGGCCAACCGATGTGGCCCGGACAACAGGCCATGAGAGGACATATATGCCAAAAGAGATTCGGATAAGATCCATCCCTTGAATAAAAACAATGTAAGCGAATTTTGAGAAGTGACAATCTTCGCAAGTAACAGACTCTTGGAATTCGAAATTTCGAAGCCGCACGGTTTATAAATTGTCCATTAATTGCTACTGAAGGAAAAGAAATGAATTTGAAACATTCTAATCTGTTGACCAGTTCTGTGAGTATGTAGAATGCCGAATTTTCAAGAAATTTATCTGACGAAGCCTGACTTATGGCATATGGAAGTTTTGAAATGACATTCAAAGCTGCTGGAGGATAAGAAAAATCAAAATAATTCACGAAATTGCAAAGAGTAAGCAGCTAAGAGGGGACCAATGTGTTGCGCCTCCGATCTGTCAACTTTATCAACTTATCGATAATTTGATTCCGAATAATTCATATGCAATTGAAAGTTGAAATACCGGTGAAACTCTTGCTGTAAATTTCGGAGCAATGTTTCAGTAACTCCATAACGCAGGACGGCAAATGATCGATGGGAAATGTATACACTTCTCTGTTGGAAAAGCGCAGTGTGCATGAAAAATTCAGAAACAACGGTACAGTGTCGACAGTGCTCGCATAAAGCGCTTCACCTGGATCTGATGAAACGGACGCCGTGGCCGACTCGAAGCTAATGCTCGAACTAGCACTTTCTGCACTATCTGAAGATCAGAAAACAATAATTACACTTTGAAATTAGGAAAATAGTGACAAAGGCAACGAATAAGCAGTGAAAAGGGAAATGTTCCTGTTACCCTAGTGCAGAAGCATCAAAATGAGAAAAAAATTGCATACGCAATGTGAGCATTCGGAAACACTAGTCTGTAGAAAGAAATCCACTGAATACCCCTCCTCTCCGGAGAAGAAACATGCTTAATCTTTAGGTTTTCTCGCTTTGTAATCAGCTCCCATTATGCAGAAGTGGATTTCTTAGCTTTCTAAAAATCAGTCGCCAGTCCACGTTTGCCTAGTCAGCACGCTATCCTCATAAAAAGAGTTTCTTCATGATACAGTGACATACAGTGATCCTCCGTATCAAGAGTTAAATTCCTCTTCTTACTCTCCTCTCTCGCTCTCTTTGTTTCCTCTTTCTTTCGCATATCCGTCTTGCAAATTACATGACGGTTCGGAGGCTGTACTGATGGTTTGCACTCCTATCCGCATGCAAAATCCGGTTTGTAATTACAGCTAAGGGATGAAACACAGATTGCATCGTAAAATGCCTTCTTACATATGACACTTAGTCTAATTCCTTTTTATGCGTTTTGTGCTGTGTAACAGCAGTACAAAACGCATATTGTTACGGGGTTGTCT